GCAGCGCCCAAAATGAAAAAAAACCCAACATGAAAAGGAGCCCAGCAGAAAGCAGAGCCCAAAACGAAAAGGAGCCCAGCAGAAGCCCAGCACCACCTCCCAAAGAGAGAGAGCAGCATGACAGCCCGGCAGCGTGCTGAGCGGGCTCTGAATGAACTCAGGACCTCCCAGCAGCCCCCGGTAGCTCCCAGCGGCCTCCGGAGGGGTTTAAAAGGCGTTGAGGGTGGGCCCTGCCCTAAGCTGCCAACAAGGTGCAGCTGTGCTGGGGGCGGCCCGGCCCTGTGGCACCTGGGGGCCTCGTTAGGGCCGGCCTGGGCTCTGACAGCTACGCTAACAACGCTGTGCTTGGCTCGCCCTGACAACCCTGGCCCTGTGCGTGCGATGCCACGCTGACCCCTAAGGGCTGGAGGAGCCCGGCAGCAGAACCGGCATCCCTACGTCGGGCTCCCGAGAGCCGTGGGGTGCAGGTTGCACGGTGCAGGTTGCAGGCAGGACTTCGCGTGTCGCTACTTCAAGAGGCAAAGCGGATTTCTTGGAGAGCTTCCGCTTTCCAGTCGTGCCTAAAGGGGAAAAACCCCACATCCCTCGCTTAACGGCACTCGGCCTCTCGGCGCGGCTCCGAGGCGCCTTTCCATTCCTGCGTGCGTTCTGCTCTCAGCGGGCTGTCAGAACGAGAGGGATCATCAAAGCCCCTCTGTAGCGCCGCTCTTTAGAGATGCCGGAACGAAGCCCTTACAAACGGCCATCGCTGCAAATTAAGTGCGACTCCGCGAAATGAGTTTACCGACGACGCTCAGAATCTCCGCCCTGAAAGCAGCGAACGGGCGCTAATTAGCTTCTCAGGCTCGCTGCCGTGCGGGGATGCAAAGCGGCACCCCTGGCTTCGTCTGACGGAACCCAGCTCGGGCTCGGGGCGGCAGCTGCCTTTGCTGGGGACGAGTGTTGCTGGGTGTGTTTCAAAGCCCGACGAGTTGGGGGGGGGGGGGGCGTCGCTTGCAGCTATTAGATTCCTGTGCCCGAGCAAAGCGTCGGCCTGAGGTGGCAGAAGCCCTGCTGCATCAGCATCAGCATCTCTGCGACCCTGACGTTATGGGATGGGGGCTCTGTCTGACAGCCTGCAATCCGGCCCCGGTGCCTCCTCCTCCCTGTCTGCGCGTTGTCCGCGCCGGTCGCTCTCGCTCTTTTACGGCTCTGCAGGACCCGGGAGGGCTCTGTGCCGGCGCTCCCCCGGGCACGGAGCGGCTGGAGCTGGAGCAGGAGCGCTGCGAAGCAGAGGCTGCTTTTTCCTCGATGTTCCCTTTGTTCTGCAGCGCATAACGAGGCTTTTCTAATTCCCAGCCCCGCGCTGGAGCTTCCGCTTTCCCTGGGAGGTGCAGAGTCCGGCGCGCTGCTCGGAGACAAACCCTACCCTCGTGCTCACAATCATAGAATCGTAGAATCACCAAGGTTGGAAAAGACCTCAAAGCTCATCCAGTCCAACCGTTCGCCTATTGCCAATAGCTCCCACTCAACCACGTCCCTCAACACAACGTCCAGCCTTTCCTTGAACACCCCCGGGGTCGGTGACTCCACCGCCTCCCTGGGCACCCCTTCCAGTGCCTGACCGCCCTTTCTGAAAAGCGATACTTCCTATCGTGGCACCGTCGAATCCTGGAGGCAGGAAATGACCTCGAAGGTCATCCAGTCCACCGGCCCGCCTACCGCCAACGCTGCCCGCGTCCCTCCGGGCCGCGTCTCCGCGTCGGACGCCTCCGGGGATGGGGACGGCCCCCCCTCCCCGGGCGGCCGACGCGTCGCCGCTCGGTCGGAAAAGAAAATCTTCCTAACATCCGACTCGAGCCTCCCTCGGGGCAACGCGAGGCGCCGCTTGACAGCGAGCGACGGTCACCGCCCCGCGAGGTGACCCTGCGGCGGCGCCGGGACGGTCGGCGGGCGGGGGGTGACACCTAGCGGTGCCCGCGCAGCCCCGCCGGGTGCCGCGAGTGCGGGATGGGCGCTCGGAATTCCTGGAGTCGTCTTCGTGTTCGGCGGGGAGATTTTTATCTCTCCCCGCAGCCGAAGGGAGACGGGTGGGCAGAGCTGCTCGGATGGATCCGAAGGTTGGGTTGGGAAGCGTAAGTACGCCTCATGTGAATACGTTTCACTGTAAGAAAACGACGAATCACGACCCGATTCCGCTACCGAAGAGTTGAGCAAGGATGAAAAGCCAGCGTGGGTACGGAAGGCCCCCGAAGTCGGGCTTAGGCGTTTCCGACGATGCGGTGCCTAGGGTGGCTCGGTGATGCGGCGTGCGGCGCAATAAACTGCCTGCGATTAGAATGAGTGCCTGAATTACTGGGTTTACGTTCCGCAACCTCCCTGCTCTGATCGCACAAAGCCTGCTCCGCGCCTAAAGCCGGGCAGAAACGTTTTGCCTTTCCCTCTTGTTTCCCCACCGTATGCTCGTTTACAGAGCCGAGATTGAGTTTCTGCGAACGGTGAGCTCAGGTGACATGAAGGAGCAAAGGGAGCCGTTCCGACAGCTATTTGGGTCTGGTTATTTTTCCTTTCTGCCTAATAGGTGCGGATGTTCGCTAATCGCTTCGCATGCGTTCCTAACGGTTCCTCCCATTTGCGAGCAGACGTCGGATGGACTTCAAAGCCTCAGAAGAGATGCTTTGTCTGGTGCTGCCTCCTTTTCCCCGAGCGCTTTGGCTGCTGGACGCTTTCTCCCGTCCCAAGCAGCTGCGGCGGCGTTCGGTGTACGGACGACTCCTGAAGCCGTCGCGTCACTTCTCCCCAGCGCCGCTTCGTGTGGCGGTTCTGAACTCCCGGTGTGCAGCCGCGGTCTTTCTCTGTACCCCGTCTCTCTGCAGATGTTGCCCGTAAGAACCCCGACAGGTGCGTCCGGCTTGGCCGGCTTGGCCCTGGACCTCGCCGCCAGGTGTCAGCAGCCGTTCGCCGCGCTCAAGCCTGCGGGGTTTTGATCTGGGTCGGCCGACGAGCCCGAGGTCCCGCGATGCCCGTGGAGGGCGCAGAATGGCTCTCGGGAGGCCGTGCCTCTCTCTCCTTTACGGAGCGCCCTCCTTCAGACCCAACTTTTGGGACGGCTGTGGCCGTAGGAGCGCCTTGCCCTTACGCGTTGTGCCCCCCACGCGAAGCTGAGGGCTTCGTCGACCGCGTCCTGCTGGGATGGGGAAAGCTGGTTGTAAGAACTCCGCCGGCGGCGGATGAATGGAGAGACGCGGGAGGCTGGTGGGGAGGACGGGGGGATCTGGGGACGTGGGGAAGGAGAGGGGAAGCGGCGCGGGTGAAACGCGTCTCACGCTCAGGGCGCTGGGGACTAAAGAGCCGCCGTCCGCGCGTGGAGACGTGCCTTCCTCGAAGACGCCTGGCCTGGGTGTTTAACATTTCAAGCGGGGGAATTCCCCCTGCCCTTGGGTCGACGGCCCCCGTGCTGTCGTTTCTCTCGTGGTGACTTCTGCAACGCCTGTCCGATTGCAGACCGCGAGATGAAAAGCGATCTGTCTCCTGATGTCGGCTCTGTCTGTCTGTCCCGCTGCCTGGGCGGTGGGAGCGACCGCCGGGCAAATATTGACCTTACCGATGGAGTTAAAGGGGACGGAGAGACTGAGGTCTTTTGTGCTCTAATTGGAGTACATGTTCCGACTATGCAAGTAAATCTCTGTGGGAGAGATCGCTTATCTGTTTGCCTTATCTTAACACACGCTCAAAATTAGGAAGAGGACGATAAGGACGGCGCATCGAGGTGGGGGAAACGGCGGGGGGCGGAAGCCGGAGGGCGCGGGGATGAGAGCAAAGCCGCTCCGAAGGGGACGTCCCGAACCTGAAGGATGTGACTCGGCGTTCTGTCGGTGCCGGAGGGGCTCAGAGGCTGAAAACTGGGCTGCGCGCCGAGGGTTGTGAGGCTGCGTGCTGCAAAGCCGTCTCCTTGCAGCGCACGGTTTGGTGCTTCCTCGCACAAGGCCTTCCCTGTCGATATCGCCGGGCTCTCTGCCCTGCGAACCTCCCCCTGACAAACGAGTACCGCTTCAGGGCGCTCCTAGAGGAGGCAAAACTCCCGGCAGCTTCTGAAATACTCCCGTTGCACTTTGAAGCAGAGAAAGATAGGGGCGGGAGGAGCCCGGCGAGCTCTTCGTCCGCGCGGGAGCTCTGGAATAATTCAGGATCGTAAAACAAGTGCGCTTCTCGAAGGTAGAAGCGATGGTGTAACCGCCGCTCTCCCTCTCCCAGCTCACGCCCGCTCCTGCAAGCTGTTCCTTTATACCGGTTGCCTCTTCGCTAATAAGCTTTGAAAAGCAAGTTCGTTAACGTGCCGACGGCCGGACTGCGCTTTAACGAGCCTTTCTCAATGCCTCCTATCTTATCTCGAGCTCGATAAGGACAAAACGTTCCAGTGACGACGCTGTAAATCACGTTTTATTGATGCGCCTCAATATGGAATAGCCGCTGCGGTGTGGGGGTGTCTGTTTGCTTTGGAAGCGGCGGCGTTGTGCAAACGCAGCCCCGGGAGGCTTGCTGCTGACGGAGGGGGGTCCGGGGGAAGGTTTCTCTTGGGGAGCACGGGAGGATTTGCACGCGTTTGTCATGGAGGGCGCTGCTGGCGGGGAGCCTTCGCCTGTACGCGCACTGAGAGAGTCTCTGAAGTCACACTTCGGTAGAGACACGCACACAAAATCCCTTCTTAAATGGTGTCGAATGCATTCCTCGCTGCTCGCTTTCCGGACCTGCCCCGTCATCCACCTGTGTGGTTCCGTGGCGTTTTCCTTCGCCTCGGTTCTCGCTTTTTGCTTTCGGTGTGGGTGAACGCATCCCCGTTACAGCCGCACGCGTGGCTGTTTGCATATCCTACACATGTATGCGACAGCGGGTTCCGCACGCAGCCGCTGGAGCCAAGCGTTGTTTCCAGAGAGCCTTCCCCCTTCTCTTTTCGTGGTGGAAGAGGGCAGCTGCGCTCCGCACGGCGGTCGCTGCGGGCCGAGGATCCCACCGACCCTGAAGGAGAAAAGCAGCATTTGGAAATACCGTGGATGGAAGCACCGTGGGCACGTGGAACGAGCGCGGGCCTGGAGCCCGGCAGACGTAGGTTTGGTGGCTCTCGTGGGGTGACGCTGGGCGGCGCCTCGTTCCCCACGTCCTGGCCCACGTCTCCAGGTGGGGAAGAGGCCGTGAGGAATGCTCTGCTCAGACATCGGATCTCTTGTTTCACAGAATAACCCGAGATGGAAGGACCTGTCAGGGTCATTGAGTCCAACTCGGCGTGCCTGGGTGCAGCTCAGGAGATGCGGTTCGCTCCCGGCGCTCCCGGCGGGTGATGTAATTCCTGCAGAGCCAAAGCGGCTCGCTCCTGCGTTTATTTCTCGCCCCGGATCTTTGCACATCGACTCCGTGGCTTCAGGCAGGCTCTCCTGCCTCTTGGGGCGTCCCCAATTTCAGCCAGCCCTCTAACGAGGGAAGACAACTCAGAGAACAAACCGGTCCGTCAGAATCGCTACCTGCTGCTGTCGCAGCGGTTCCGGGGGGGTTAGATGGCATTCGCTGCACGTCTCCAAAATTATTGTCTTTAAGTGAGAAAAAAGAATTGGGAAGTCACTGCCTACGGTTCTCGAAAGGCCGCTCTCAGCCCTCTGATTTCCTCTGAAAAGCCCCCCGGCGTCGCTCTGCCCCTGTCCCCCCGTGTCCCCCAGCTCAGGGCACGCTGCGTGCCCGTCCCCGTCCCCCACCTGCCCCGAAAATTAGGAGCTCTCCTTCCGTGCAATAAAAAGACAAAGCCGACAGACAAAGCGGGCAGAATGTACGAGACTCTGCTTTTCCTCCCGGAGCCGAAGTTAAAAATTATTCAGCGTAGAATTCCTGGCCTGTGAACCAGAGGCTCCGCACTGTACCAGGCAAAGATTTTCACCAGCATTCCGCTTAGCCAAGGCGGAGATAACAGCGCTGCGAAGCACTTGGAATAAATCCGCTCTTCCGAGATTCCTCCGGGGTGCTCCCCTTCCGCCCTGTTTTCCCCGAGCTTCCTAAGGTCTCGGGTGAACTCAGGGCTGGCATTTACCCCGGCTTTTATTTTTCTGAACGTGAGCGAGGCCAAACGAAGCCAGAAGTTGCTTCGGTTTGTTTGGTTTGGGGTTTTTTGTTGCTTTTTTGTTTTGTTTCGTTTTGTTTTGTTTCTGTGCGCGTGTGTTTAAACGGCGGGAGAGAACAAGTAAGTGATTGACTTTATCTTTTCTTAATGAAGGCTTTTCTCGAGGGATGGTGATAGCTGCACTTTGCCACGTTCTGAGGGAGCTTGGGAAGTGGTTCAGGAGCAAAAGGCGCTGCGGTTGTTGGAATGAGGCTGAGCGGCAGCGGGGTGGCTCCCGCTGCTGCCCTTTGTGCATCAGAAGCTGTGGCTGCAGGCGACTTCCCCCCTTCTGACCACTCGGACACCAGGAGAGAAATTGCCAGCAGAACGCAAGGACAAACATTTGTTTTCTACTTCTTTTAAAACACGAGGGTCTGTGGAGACTGATAGTGATTGCGGCCGTGTTACGTTGGACCCGGCGATGCGAACCCTCGGGGCCGCTTCACTCCTCCAACCGTCAGCAGAGCTGCTCCTCGCAGGGCTCCCAGCTCTGCTGGCGGCTGAGGGGGGAGAGCTCCGTCTCTGTGGGATGGATACGCAGTGACTCCCTCCGCAAAGGAGGGCTAACGTAGAGTCTGTGTGTTGTGCTGAGCGCGTGGTGAAAGAAAGGGGCTGTGCGGAGGGGTGCTGCTCTGAGATGAGCTGTAAAACTCAGGCGCAGGTTGAGCTGTGGGAGTACGTGCAGCACGCTGTCTGAAGACGAGGAGGCTCTCCTCTTGTTTTATGGGATGCTTTCACAGGCGTGTGAGCGTCCAACAACTGTAGGGAAGGGAAATTACTTCTGTAGGAAGGAACTGACGTTCTAGCAAAGCCAGTCACAGCGCTGCAAATTCAGGTGAATGCTGCAGCAGGGCATGGGAGGCAGACAGGGCTTTAAATGGGGTATCGAAAGGAACGTGGCAAGCACCGCTCGCAGCCCCTCTGACACGGTGCCAAGCGTTCGGGGCAACCTGAACACACGGAGGAAGCCCTAAGGTCACCGTTTGCTTCTTGCTAGTCACTGTGTGCGTTTATTCCAAACGCGAAGACTCGCAAAGATGACACGCTGGGGTTGCAGGAGCTGCAGGGCTTCCTGCAGTCCCAGTCTTCCTTTCCTGATGCTCACACGCTTCTGGGCCCGTGAACAGCCCCGTGGGCAGGCCTTGGGTGCTGCCACCTTTCTGCTCAGTGCCGTGGCCTGCTGGTGGAGCGGGCTGGAGGGAGGGAGGAGAGCTGCGCGCCGGAGGCGTGCCGGCATCCCGCTTCACGTCGGCCTAAAGAGGTGATCACCTCTCGAGATGAAATCAGCACACGAGATTCTAGACTGTAAAAGGGATGCACGCGTGCACAGACGTGTGCGTACATACAGATAGCACGCTGGGCCCAGCGCAATTAAAACTTAACAAAAACCACGGGGCGTCCGGAGGCCGTAGAGGGCGACAGGAAATCTCTCATCAGCTTCCCTGGAATTTGGGTTCTGATTAATATCTGCTATCTCTAATAGAAATGGGTTTTTTTCTTGTTTGGTTTGGTTTCACTTGGGCTCAAGCGAAGAGGATAATTATTGCTAATGATTTATAGGGCGGTGACAGGTGGAAAGAGAACGCCTTTCGGAAGACTGGCAAAATGTTTTCTTGGGAGAAGCCACGCTCGGGCGGCTCTCTGACCCCGTCCACATCAAGTGCTGCTTTCTGCAATAGAATTAGTAGCATTGCCTTATGCTATCCTAGAACAAGATGCCTTGGTCTACTGGAAAGCGAGCCAGGGAAGTTTTCTCACTGTGCAGCGGGTAGAATATCTGTAACACCGCTGCGTGGCCGATGCAAATCAGTCATGGTGTGACGTGCGCCTCGTTGGCCCAGCTCCTGGGTTCAGAAACCCGAGGACTCTCTCTGCCTTCTATGTGAATTTGCATCTTTCATAGCCCCCCTCTGCTTTTAATTACTGCTTGCAGCTGCCCGTTGCAGCTGCTGCCAGCAGTTTCTGCCTTCGCAAGGAAAGAGGTGACTCTGGGTTCCTTCCTGTGATCATAGTTTAAACCCTTACTTTGGGAAGCACCCCTCAGCAGGACCAAATAAGGCCTCAGAATGCAGGAACCGCTGCTGGAAAGAGCGCTTGTGATGATTTCAAGCTGATTTCGGGCCCTTCCAGGTCACACAACCGTGACAGGTGTGCGGTGAGGAGACAGAAGGATGCGTTATGAAAGATAACGCCGTGTAACTCGCCATCAGCTTAACAGAACCCTCACAAAGCTACTGGAAATCAGAACGAAAGTGGAAAGCGCGAAGAAAAGCACTAGATTTTCTGAAGTTCGCTTCCTTGATTTGGGAAGTGTTGCTGGCATTGGAGGTTTTAAGGTCTCGGGGTTAAAACAATCGTTCTGCCAGGGAGGGAGGGATCGAGAGACTGTGTGTGACCTCGCTGCTACGAAGGTGTGGGCAGGGTACGTAAACAAGCACGGGAATCGTATCTGTGCAGGCTTTCAGGAACCGTCAGCTCACAAACTTCCTGGAGCGAGAGCAGAAGACACGGCAGATCCACGCGCCTCTCCCCCCTAATGCTGTCGCAGTACCATTAGAATTCCCCCGATTCCTGTTAATATTCTCGCTCATTAGTGCTGATGATCTTCCTGGGTGGGTCGAAGGAGCTGCCCTTGTCGGACTTACTCCCCCAGTTCCGCCTCCTTCAGCCCTTCCCAGTCCCACCGCTCCGTCACCGCTCCCACCTGAGCCTCCTGCTGACCTTCAGGCCCTGCTCAGCCCCGGGATCAGCCCTCTGCCTTCCCTGCGCACGGACAGACCCAACAGGGGGTTGTGGGTCTGGGCTAGGAAATCCGTTCTGCAGAGTCATGGCCACTGGGCAGCGTCGGTAACTGTAGGACCGACGCTTCCAAACGGGTGAAGTAGCAAAGTGAGGGGTTAATGGGCTGTAGGTCAATTTCGTTCCGGCTCAACCCAAACGGCCAGCGGATCCGGTTCCAGGGCTCCACCGAGTTCCTGCACAAGCCCTGATTAAACAGGAAAAACCTGTGAATTGTTGGCTTTGAATCCCAGGCTGGGGACGGAGTGCGCTTGAGTAACATGCGTGCTTCGGGATTTCATTTAAATTTCTCAAGCCTCGGAGGAAAGGGAAGAAACCTGGGCCTTTCTGCAAGAAGGGGGAAAAGATCTAATCTGTTTACACCCCGCATTCCTTGCGTTCCTTTGAGAGTCTGCTACTATAAAAGCCCTCGGTCCCACCTACGGCACGAGGTTACTTTTGCTGCAGCTCCATTACATCTTTCTGAAAAGGCAGACGTGAGCCGCTGTACCCGGAGGTCCTGCTTCATTCGGACCCCGGCGCAGCTGAGTTGTTTGTGATCACGTATAGATCTGAGCAGCTCCTGTTTTCCCTTCAGAGAAGGTACGCACCCACCCACCTCGTTCCAAAAAGGCTCCTTTTCCTGGTAAGAACTTAACAGTGTCCTGGTATGGGAATGCCCTTCTTGGAAAACGAAGCTCTTTCCCCCGCTCCCTCCCCTCTGTTTGAACGTGATGACTCAAGCTTGGTGCAAATCCAAGGCAAATAGAAGGTGCGGGCGCAGGCAGTTGGTTAACTCCTGAGCTGCTGTGAATAGAGATCAGCAAGCAGACCCAAGCTGCTTCCCAAGGCCTCGGCTCCGGCCCTCTCTTCCCAATCACTTCCAGGATTCTGTGGTCTGGACGCTTTCCAGCCGCGATGCTAAGGGAGTAGGCGGGAGCCGGAGATTTCGTATCTGCTGCTGCGTTGGTTATCAAACCGTTCCCTCTGCTGCAGTCACAGCAGTGGAGTTAACAGCACCTGGCTCGCCGAGGTTTACTTTCCCGTGTGTGCGTTCAGAACGGGGCCAGATGTTGGGTTATTTTTGTTCCTGCGCTGCCGTTGCGTCAAACCGTTGGAATCCATCAGCAGCGCTGCGCTGCTGGAAGTGGGGTCGGGACCCACAAAGCGTGAGCGTGGGGCAACTGTTCTGCCACATCCAAGCCGTGACGGTCTTCCAAAGACTGAAGCAGAACATCGGGAAACTGTGTTGGCGTGTGGGGAGAGGGCAGAGGAACCTACAGCTGCCCTACGCGTAGCCAGGGCCGACGGCACACAGATGAACTCCAGGCTTTGGAATGAGGCTGAGGGGGAAGGCAGGGCATGGTTGGGTCTCGCTGGCAGGTGGTGAGGATGCCGAAGCGCTGCTCTCTGAGCCGGATGGGCTTCTTCCCCTTTTGGACTCGACAGCGTTCGCAGCAAAAGGAGGCTCCTCTTTGGGTGGTGGGAGGAAAACAGAACAGAACCCAAACCCCTGTGTGTGCCATAAACGCCGAGTGAGACATCCGCAGGGGTACGGTGCAGTCCCAGCGTTCTGCAATATTTAACTCCTTGCTTTCAAAGTGCGTTTGCTCTGCCTTGAACTCACAGGGCAAAGAGATTAACTTCTGCCTTCAGTGGAAGGACAGAAACGTCACGCGTTTCACTTATCTTCCCATGAACACGTTTCTCCCGCTTTGCTTTGAGAAGTCATTGGAAAAAATCAGCAGCTCTGATGATTAACGTTGAAA